CAGATCCAGTGAGGGGCTACCATGTGGAAAGGCACTTCAGGCAGGCAAAACGGTTTGTTTGCCCTGTGTTGCACTTACATTTAGGAGGCATTTATTTTTGTAACGCGTTGTGGCATGATGGATATCTGTCATTGCAGTCATGTGTGGAACTCCAAGGCTGAGGGCTGTGTACAGATATGTGAAGCAGCACTTGGCACTGCTGGGATGCAAAGATTAGAGTTCACAAAAATAAAACTAAGACAAAATATTTTGTAAAAGGAGTTTTTTGGGAGGTGGTTTGGTTTTATTTGTGTGACAAAAGCGGTTGCTTAAGATTCTCCTGTGAACTGAGATATTCTGATTAATTCTTGATGCTTTCGTGCTCACTTCAGGAAGATGAAGTGCAATTCATTAGCAAGGTGCTTGGGTCAGCCCCAGTGATCCTCATAGCCAGAGCAAAACAAGGGGCAGCTAAGGAAAGAAAGCAGACAAATGGATTAGTTTTAAATGTGCTGTGCTGCCCAGCAAGACTTAAAATTGTTAGCTGTGCGTATGAATATTTATATATGAGCCAGAAAGCAACGAGCTAATTTCCTACTTTCCTCTTTATAATGAGAGCCTGAACTGTTCACAGCAGTATTTTAGAGATTTGTTATTACTAACCTCTTCCTCTGCCCAGTCAGGGTTTTATTCTCTGACTTTAAAAACAAAAATGTGTTTGTAAGCAGTGCAAGTCACATTTGCAAATAAAAAAAAAGAAGAAGAAGCTGTATCTAAGTATTAGAAAGTTTAATTGGTTTAGAAGGTCCCTGAAAATAATGTCACTTCAAAAACCGAGTTTTAGGTTGAAATGAAGTTTTGGGAGATAGTTTACTATTGTGAAAAAACAGATTTTGCACTTATTTTTAATTATTTTAACTACTATTTGCATACAGATTTTTTTGTTTTTATATGGTGGGACAGGTATATGGAAAATTCCTCCCAAAGCACTTGCATGAAGATGTCATAATCTGAAATTTTGTGGTGTTATTTCTTCTTTGTCTTCCTCCCAGAATTTATATTGAAGGCTGAATTACATTTTTAATTATTTCCTTAGAAGTGATCTTGGTAAAACCTAATTCTTAGGAAATTTACAAACACAAACTGATATTTCTTGATGTCCAAGTAGAATAGTTGGAGGAACTTATTTTTATGCCAAAACATTTTAGAAAAGATACCTGACAAGTGTTTGCAGGCTGTAGCCTAGGGTAGAAGAGATGAGCTATTGGTGGTACAGGAGATCTGGTAATAAGGAGAGGCATTTCAGTGTGGTCTTCATATATAAGACAACCCAAAAAGCTGGTGCCTGTCCAGGAGGGGTCTTGGGAGGAGCTGTTTTGCTATTTTGTTGACTGGATGAAAACACAGTTTAAGAATTTTTTGAGAAATGTCTCTGAATATCTTGTTTTCACTTTGCTTAAGGGCCAGGACTGTGTATGTATGTGAATTTAGAAAACTCAGTCCCAGAAATGAAAAATGCTCTTTACAGACAGTAAATAATTCCTGCTGAGATGTGTAATTCTAAAAGGTGAATGCTATTTTCTTTGAAATAATCTGATTCAAAGATTAAGGAAATTGAATCTGATTTCCTTGATGCACAAAAATATGTATAAATATTTGAATATCTTTGGTCTTTGGTTAAAACCTTTGGTTATTTCTTTCCTCTACTGTGCAGTGCTGTGGCCTCACCTTGAGTCCTGTGTGCAGTTTTGGGGACTACAGTGTAAAAAAGATACTAAGGCATTAGAGAGTGTCCAAAGGAGAGCGTCAAGGATGGTGAAGGCCTTGAGGAGAAACCATATGGGGAGTGGCTGAGGTCGCTTGGCCTGTTCAGCCTGGAGGAGACTGAGGGGAGACCCCATTGCAGTTACAGCTCCCTCATGAGGGGCTCAGGAGGGGCAGGCACTGATCGCTCTCTGTGGTGACAGTGGCAGGACCTGAGGGAATGGCCTGAAGCTGTGCCAGGGGAGGTTTGGGTTCAGTATCAGGAGAAGGTTCCTCACCAGAGGGTGATCAGGCACTGCAACAGCTCCCCAGGGAAGTGGTCACAGCACCAGCCTGGCAGAGCTCAAGAAGCGTTTAGACAATGCTGTCAGGCTCATGGTGTGACTCTTGGGATGCCCTGTGCTGGTCCAGGAGGTGGGCTTGATGATCCTTGTGGGTCCCTTCCAACTCAGCATGTTCTATGTTTCGTTGTTAACTTTTAAAATGTAAATTAATATTGAATCTTTGCAAAAAAAAAAAAAATATTACCGTTTAACAAGCTTGTAGGGAAAGCATTCTGCATTTCCTCTTCACCAAGTTATAACAAAAATCAATTATTCTTAACAATGTGAGTTCTTTGTAAACATAAATCATTAAAACAGAAGCACACAGAAACTCTTTAATGACACGTTTCAAAAGTGATTTTGCCATAACTTTCCTATTCTGTTCTTTTGTTGTGTGAATAGTTGTGCAAGTTGAATAGGAACTTCAATGAGGAATTCTGTATTTGATTTATGTGCTGTAATTTAGTGCAACACTTTTTGTTCTATTTATATTGTGGTTTTCATGATAAATCACCTTGAAATGCCTGAACCTAGTAATGATGATTAAATTTATTTCTTTTTTTTTTCCAAAAAACTGTTGAGACAGCACTCTTTGTCTCAGTTTAGACGATTCCGTGTGTGAGCAGTACTTTGCAGACTGTGGATGCTGTGAATTTTCAGTTGGAGAGTCAGAATCTTGTTGTATCCCAAGCGAAGGAGATAATGTGCCAGAGAGAAGAATGAATCATGTAAAAAATCTGGAGAGAGAGCTGTAGTCAAGAAACAGATTTTGAAAATGAATCTTGAATGATGGATTGTTGAAAGAAAAGAAGTTAGAGTTCCAGGGTTCACTATGCTGTCAGAGAATACAATGTGTTTTTTAGTCCAAGGGATGGACAATAAAGGCTGCATGCTTTTAGTAGGAAGTTTCTCAGCTGTGATCCCTGTTCATAATTTCTAACCACAAAATGGGAACTAATTTCATGGGTCCGTAACTTCTATTTTTTTGAGGTCAAAGCAGAGCTACTCTAAATGATGTACCCAGAATATCCAAAGTGTATTTTCTATGGATATAAATGCAGACATTCAGAACTGCATACATTTAATGTCATTGAGAAAGGATAAGCAATTATGAATTTATTGCCAAAGATACAGTGTATAATATACCACAGAAGTAATATTTGAATCACAGGATACTTCAGGTCAGGAAGGATCATCTACTCCACATCCTTGTTCAAACTGGGCCCAGCCTCAAGGACAAAATGTTAGAAATGAATGCATACCTTGAAGAATTTATTTTTTCTAAATTGTTCTTTAAGGAAAAAAAAAAAAGAAAAAAAGAGGGACAAACAAACCTGAAGGTTGTTAAGTCCTGAGATTTAGTTTCTCTGATAGAATAAAATGTAGAGTGCTCTGTGGTCAAGGAACTCAGCATTGGTTTTGATGACAAGTTTCCATTGTGCTACTTAGTGTTTTGAAGATAAAGTAGAAAGAGAAATAATTCAGGATATTTATGTTTGCAGTCCAAAAAAATGTGATGGCACTGAGGGAATAAAAACATAAGCCACCTAAAGTTTGGAGGAAGTAAGATACATAGGTATATGATGCACGTAGTTTTAAAACTATTTTTTTGTATGGATGTGCTTACTGGGGTTGAGAGCAAAGTGGCTTTTTTACTACAAAAATGACAAATAAAAGTGGAGGGTTTTTTTTCTAGATGCTGGCTGATGAGTTGCCTGATGTTTCTTTTTGGTCATTTTTGCCAATACAAAACTGTTCTGTGCCAAAAGTCTTGGGGAAGTACTAATTTGTAGACTAGACACGGATTAATTGAGGAGGAAATTGAGTCTTTGGTAGCTGGCACCTTCAGTATTTTTGTGTTGTTTAATTGAATACGTGTTGAGGAGAGATGGGTAATAGTCAAGTTGAAAGCCTCTTGTGGACATGCGTGCATGTATGTGTTTGCATGATGCATGAATTGCAAATAAAGCTGCAGAAGCAAAAGCTCTGCTTTGGGTTTTGTCACCCTGCTCCTCCAAGCAGGTTATCTGACAGACTTAGGCACATGATACCTAGTTCAGCTCCTTCTGGGTAAAAATCAGGCTTGATGAGTGATGTGAATGTTTCACTTGAGTGTTTGAACCTACATCCTCAAGTGCTGAGAAAAATATTTTCACGATTCTCTTAAGATGCATGGATTTACTAAGAGGATGAGCCCTGTTTCTGAAATGTCTTACCTTTTCGGTGTAAATGAAGCTGAATCAATTGCCAGGGAAGTGTAAATACTGAAGAAATTTTTTAACCCCTTCTCCACTCCCTCCTTTGGGTTGCTAAAGAAAAACCCACAACAACCATGTGCTGTGGAAATGTAGCTCTTTGCTGTACGCTTTATTCATGCACTTCAGCCTGCAGTGGTGGTTTGTGTGTGTGTTGTTTGCAGGAGTGAGAGGGGATGGAGGAGTAGATGTTGAACTGAACTGCATCTCTGCATGATCACAATTTGTTTTTCTCAGAACATATCTGTCCAGGAAGTCATCTAGTACTGCTAATTTGCCTAAAGAATAAATTCTACTTTTTTTTCATGCAGGCGTATGTTCAGTGTAACTGGGAAATTTTTGTCATTGAACAGTTGTTTTCATACTGAAGTACCAGTTTTCATGAGAAGCTCTGATGATTCCTTAAGCTTTGACTCAAAATGTTTTTTCTGAAAAACTCTAAAATAAACCAACAGTAATTAGATGCTGGCATTAACTTCTTACAGAACCTTAGAAAAACTTTTATTCATGGAATTTACAAGACTATTGTGATGGTTTCTTTCTTGAACTGTCTTCCATTGTGCAGTTAGTAGCCAAACTGAAGAAAAACAGAGAACCTCTGTGCAGTCACAGTCACAGAAAAGATTAGGTAAAATCCAAATTACATAAAATTTTTTCATCTTTTAATTTTGTTTTCCAGAATGAAAAATCCCCAGGGCGTTCCACAAGTCGATCAAGTAATATTTCAAAGGTATGTGAATTCTATTTTCTTTTCTGGAATTTAAAGAAAACTAGGTAATTAAATATAAAACAGTACTTTAATCCATTATATTCATTATGTAGTATTTTATTTACTCATAGGAATCAGATTTTAAGTTTTGCTGCAGAACATTATGGTTATCCTGTAAACTCCATCATACTATTGGTCATTACTGTAAAATATGTAATAACAATACTAAGCAAATAAATTAATACCCTTTTTTTTCGCCTCTTTTTCCCAAGTGTTTAATGTTACCTTAGCACTTCAGCTTAAAATAAAATTACTGTTGTCTTTTTCTCCTCCTGCCCTACCCAAATAATTACAGGTGTAATATGCAAAGCTATAAATCTGTGTTCATTTCAGGCTGAATTCTGAATTCCTTTTACAGGGATATATGGTTCACTGAAGCCAGGACTTTACATCTAGATAATTTTTGCTTTTTAGGAAAGAGAAGGCAAACTTTAGGAAAGGCCAAATGTGATTTTTACTGAACTTCTTTGGTTTTAACCCCCTTTTCTCTGTATTTTTGGTTCAGATGTGGCTGAAATTTATGCCAAAATGCCGGGATGTACAGGAGGCAAAAGATAAAACTAATTTTTTTTTTTTTAATCCAGGCCTAACATCTGCCACGTATTATGTTTGGTTTTAAATATTTTGCATTTAGGGCAAGCACTGTATCCTTAAACCTCTTCACAAAATATTTTTGTCTTTGGGGTGCCCACTGCAAAACTTTTTTCTTCTCAGAGCAGAAAACAAAAAAAAAATTACAGCAAACCCCAACTGTGATTTTAAGTTAAAATGCTAGTTCCATGTGAGGTTCTGCTCTCTTACATTTAGAAGGGAAAAAGAAGTAGACTATATCCAGCCTGCTGTAGGATATGGCTGAAACTCTTCTGGGTTAACTGCCTGTCCTTAGAAATCATATAGATATATAGATATATACTTACAAACTCTATCATTGGGAATTGTATTAATTATTTTAATTACTATTTTTAAATGTGTGTATCTAGCAATAGTTACTGTAAATCTATTATGAATTGATATTACTTTCTCTGCTCTTTTTGAAGACAGGTGCATGGGTTGCCCTGTGGCAAAGCATAAATATATTCACTGACATGAGAAACATGCCAGTGACTAATGTGTATTTTGAAGGGATTTCTGCAGAAATCAGTATAGTTGCTTATTAGAAAGTGATATTTGCTCTAGTTTTAGTTGCAAGCTAAAATCCCAATTTTTCAGTCATGCACTTTATCTTTTTCTGATGTATAGCATCATGCATTGTTTTGAATCAATTTTTTTTCTGAAGCTACCTGCCAGTAAAGTTTTTCAAATGCTGAAAGCCATTTGATTGGAATTCCAGTTTTGTTTGTTGTCTGACTTAAAATGCTTTTTTCTAAACTAGGTTTTTATATGTGTGTGTATACATAGAAAAGCAAACACCTGACTTTGCAGGTTAATATTGCATGGCAGAAAGTGACAGTAAAAAATACTCCACCTCAAAACAAGGGTGAAAGCTTCTAGGCCAGACAAACTGCATGCCAAAGGCAAGATCTGAGTTCTGTGCAATGTCAGATCTTGCACGCAACAAAAATTTCAATGGGCAGAAAAATTAGATAGTCTTTATGTAAAGCTATGAATTAGTGTCATCAAAACACTGTCTTGGACTGTTTTCATTTGCCTGTATGTGTAAGTTAAAAAGGGTCAAATGGAATTATATTTTAATTTGCGTGTTCCACCCTTAGCTGGATGTAGAGCTCCTCCCCCAGAGCAGATACCACTGGATTTTGTACTTAGCTATTTGTGAAATGAAATAAAGCATAGATTCTGTAAATGCAGATTCATCTTTCATAATGCTCTTAAATTGTTTATTTGGAGAGGACACCTGAGGTTTGCCGTGTATGCTTGGGCAATTTTGCATGCTAGGTACATGAATTTTAAGTCTGAATTTTATGGTATTACAGATTAAACTGAATTGTTGAACACTGAAGATGTTTTATCTAGTTATAATGAGAAGGAATGGTTTTGATTCGGTATTTGACAGATACTGGTTAGTATATATCTATTCAGTCACGAGATTTTACAATCAAACATTCCCAAGATGGGTGAATGTGTGTGTGTGTGGAAATCAACCTCAATTTTACCATTCACTTTTGCAATGCTAAATGCTGAGAGCGTAGAAGTTTAGCATGTTGCAAGGACTTTTCTTATTGCGTGTAATTTTCTGGCAAGGATTTCAGTGACAGACTATTTACGGCAAATGAAAGAACAAAACTTGAAATATTTGACTGACAGCTGTGGCTCTCTTCAGTGAACAGCAACCTAAGAATTTATTCATTCACCTCAGCTTTTTATTTATTTATGTCAAGAAAACTGCCTTGAAACTCCAAAAGCAACAGCTTTTGATAGTTTCTGAATCAGAGACAATTAGGAAAATGTATCAGTGCCTAATTTTTGCTGCACTTCTGGTAATAACCTAGATTTTTCCTGTGCAATCAATAAATAAATAAACAATCTTTTTGTGTTCTGCCCTGCTAGCACTTAATTAGATATGATTAATAATTTAATAACTAGATTATTAGCTCATATTTTGAATTTTCTGTATTTCACATTATCTTGTATTGACAAAGTGTAGCCCAAGTGAGTAGTTATGGCTTTCAAAACCTGTCTACATAAAGAAAACTGTACACATAAAGAAAAATATGAAACACTTGGAAAAGTGAGTTATGAACCAGCTGTCATGATTTTAAATTATTACTATATTTTTAAGCATTAGACTTTTTTCGCACCTATTTCTTCTGTTGCTGGCAGCAGAAGGAACTTAATTATTCTTTGTAAGAGATAGTATTGTGCAATGTTCTGGATTGCTGTTATCCTATCTGCATGTGTTTAAAATTTAGGTAAATTAAAAACTTGATCGTGATCATTACCTATTTGCCATTGCTTAGTTTTCTGTGCACTGTAACTTCTTTCATTAAAATTCTTTTGTCTTCCTAAATAGATGTATAATTTAAGAGGAAGGGTAGTCAGAGAAGGATCTGGTGGATTCATTGTTTTCTGTTGTGGTTAGCCAGTGGAACAAATTTTGTGTCTGAGTTACAGTCTGTAGCCTTTATGCTCTATATGTATTTCTGAGGCTGCCTGGTTATGTTAAAATGCTTTCTGGAAGAAATGTTTCTAAAACACTGTAATTATCTTTCTGTATGTTAATTATGATTCAAGAGCTCATTAGAGAAGGATAGTATCTCAGCAGCAAGATATAAAATTCTCTGATGGGAACCTTGGGCTTATTTTTCAGTACGGAGAAAATCAGGCTTGGAGCAAATTGCCTGAATTTTGATTTGCCTCAATTACTTCTCAAAAGCCTGGAGCAGGTGTTAGAACACTTTTTATTTACAAGTCTCTGAAGCTTCCATCTAATAAAACACTGTCGAGTTACATCAGGGAGTAAGGTGCTTGTTTTGGACTATTCTGTGTGATAATATTCACATGTCTAATTTAGAATATGAATAGCAATAGGGGAAAGAAAGAAGGAAATAATTGTTTTTACTCTATGTTAGCAATTTATGATTTCTTTTGTTTAGTGAGGTTCCTCTCAATAAGATACAAATGAAAACCAGAAGGCACCAGGATGCTAATCTAGATGAAAAATTTATTGCTTCTAATGTATTGATTGTGGATTTGAATCACTCAGTTTGTGACTTTGAAAGAAAATTCCCAAACTGGGCATTAAATTCTGTACTATTTATAATAATAACAGTAATAGTATAATAGTAGTAAGTAATACAATATTTATAATAGTTATAAATTACCATTTAATCTCTTCCATTAAAATTGAATAATCTTTTAAATGGGTTTTGATATTCTCAGCTATTTCATCCTCTCTGTATATGAGGTGATTGTATGAAGAGACCTATGTTGCAATTTGGATGGTTTACCCAGCTTGAAGCAGAACTCACTATTACGCACTGTAAGTGTTTGTAGTGGCCAAACATCACTGTGTCTAAGGCAGTGACACCAACAGAGAGCACATAATATCTCCTGGTAGGTTTCATGGTGAAAAAAACCCAAAGGAACTTCAGTGTTCTTTTGAAAGAAGTTCTTACCATGGACTTTGTTTGCCAGAACTAGGATTGCAGCATTTCCAAGATGATCTGTTTCATGACTGAATCCTAAAGACCACTTGTGTGATGCCTTATGCTTTGCTACAGGCAGCTACAATGCTCCAAGTTGATCCATAGTTCTTACTGTTCTTTGCCAATTTCATGCTAATCACAAGTGAAAATTCTCTTCCAGGTTGGTGGCTGCTTTATTTCAAGGAACCACAAAGCTCCATATCTTCCAAGTGTATGTTCTAGATTACTGTAATGAGTAGCTGAGGGAAAACTTAGGGCTTTCAAAAAAGAAAACAAATCAAGAAAAACATCCTTGCTCTTGTAAAGCATAAAATGTCAGCCTTCATAAGTGCTTTTACAGTAGATAATATGATGTATACAAAGCTGGCATTAAAATGCGAGTATAAATGTTACATTAGTCATCAAATCATTCTTCTTGCTCATAAACAGAATCATTTTTATGAAAGCTGAAGACTAACCTAGCACTTTGCTCTCATTTATTGAAAACAACAGTGCAAAGTAAACAAGTTAGTGAAAAGATTTTCTTCATCAGAACAGAATTCATTTTGAACACAAAAAAAGGCAGAAAACCAAAGACTAGAAGTAGATCCATTGCATAGTAGCTGTTTTTTTTAAAACTCCTAGATACGAATGTTTGATTTCCATGTATAGAGAATGCTTTATGGTTTGTCCATACAATTTATTCTTTGTTTACAATAAGCTTAACAAAAGGCATGGCAGCAGAATTTACCTAAGTCTGCCTGAAAATTGAACTGAATGAAATTGCATGCCTATATGATGGTATTAAATACATGGGGACAACCAACAGAAAATAGTTCACAGCTTGACACGTTCAGATAAAACTGCATATATGTGTGG